AAAAAAAAAAAAAAAAAAAAAAAAAAAAAAAAAAAAAAAAAGAGAGAGAGAAAGAAAAGGAAGAACGAGAAACCGAGAAAGGAAGAACGTACCTTTTGCTTTTTCCGCTTCTTCTTCTCCGTGGAATCTTTTTTCTCTTTTTTGTCATCTTTTAAAGTTTCCTCCTCGATTCTTCTTTTATCAGCCTCTTCTTTGATCTTCAATTGGGCTATTCTCCTAGATTGTCTAACAGGTGTCTCGTTTTGGGTTGCTCCCGACTGTTCTTCGGCGATGTCTCTTCCAACCTCGAGACCCAGTACCATTTTTCCTAGAGATAAAATAATACTTGGAAATACGGTAACATTACGTTCTGGTAGCGTCGTCGATATACATATATTGTACACGTAACTGATATATAATTGATAAAATAATGCCGCTTACGTTTCTTTCGCTTTTTCTGAGATATTGGCGTTAAATTCAAAGAATCGTTGGTAATCGGTGTTCCATCGAACTGAACAACCTCGGGCGACACATCCGGTACCTGATTGCTTTTCTGAAATTCATTGTGTTTAGGTCGAGTCGAGCGCGCATTTCCTCTGTAACCGCGTCTTCGCCTTCCTCTAGGACGACCCCTCGCTTTTCGTTCGATCACGATCGAACGCGCGATGCTCTGATCGTCGCTGATGTCCTTAACTTCCTGCTCCTCGAACTTTTCCGAACCGCATTTCACAGTCTCGTCCTCCGAACTTATCGTCACGATTCGATATTTCTCTGCAGTCTTCCGCGATTGTTTATCGGCCATACGTCTCTCGCGTAACCGTATCCTTTTGCCTCCCATTACTCCCTCGTCCTCTTGTTTTCCCGCATCCTCCGAATGCGACTCGTGAAAACTACCGCGTCTCTTGCGGGAAACCTTCGGGGGATCCGTAGTGTCCAATTTCCAACCGTCGTAAGTAAGTTCGGACACGGGTTTAACGCGTAAACCAATTTTTGGCAGAGGAGGAATAGGAACAACGCTGTCCGCGTTCTCGTCTATCTTTCTCGGAGTATCCTCGTCGGTACACGCTAAAGGATCCACTTCTTCCGGAGCAGCATCAAATAGATTTTCATCGTGGTCCAATCCCATCGAGTCATCGGACACCAAAGAGACGGTTTTGATTTCGATACTTTGAATCTCCGAGTTTTCTTCATTTCTTTCTTCGTTAACGCTACCTTTTCCTTGATTTCCGACCAATGCATTACCACCCGCCGCAGCTGTACCGGCTGCAACACCAGCAACATCGGGAACATCGGGAACGGTACTTCTTGATTCATCTTTCGTTACGGTTGCTATCCTAATGGCCGAAATAGCATCCTCCTCTACTTCGATCTTACCGACTGGAACGTCTTCTTCTCTAGAATTATCCATACATTTATCCAATTGTACTTTGGACACCGTTGAATTTTCTAATACTCGTTCGTTCGATTCCGCATAGAGGGATTTGGATTTCGATGCAGGAATATCTTCGGTTTCGGAAATGTTACACAATCTTTTTCTAACCTCCTTCGTCGAATCATATTTCGTAACGACGGTCGTTTCCGATGTTATTTCATTTCTCCTTAAAACAGAACTTTCCGAGGGAGAAGCCGTCGATTTATTTCTAGCGTGCGGAGGCTCCTCAAATTTCTCGTCGTGATTTTCCGAAACATTCGAGCATTCTGATTGATCAAAATTGCCAAAATGTAGATTATCTATAGGTTGAAACTCTTCCGATACAGCTGAAACGTTATTTTTGCACGTTTCCGATTGATCTGTGCTCGACGATGTATTATCAAATTTCAGCGGTAAAGCATTCGCTGCCGAACGAACGGACTCATCGACGTTCGGTAAGTCTTTGCCCCGGTGACTTTCTTCATCGTGCGAGCACGCGTCAGTTTTATTTGCAGATCTCTCAGACTTTCCGGACCTTTCGTCGCTAAATTCTGACAATTCGCTGACGATCATTTTACGCGATTCCATCGTGCCGAGTTCTACCGTGACATGCTTGACTTTTTCGTATTTAACGAACTTAATGTCGTTCTCCGAATTCGTTTGCAATTTTTCTTCTACAGATTTTAAGCACCGTTCTTCGAAATTCCCATCAGATTTCTGATCGCCGACACGATTAGACACGCTGGACTGGCTAGACTCGCTAAATTCGTTAGCTTCGTCGACTTCTCGAGTCAACTGAGGGGGTTCGATTTCATCGACCGAATAATCTAGCGTTTTAAATTTCTTTTTATTTTCAGCAATCGAATGTTCCAGTTTGTCTATACTAGGAGGAATCGAACATTTCTTTTCGTTCGCAACTCTTACAACGTCTATCAACAAATTGTTGGTTTTGATCAACATCGAGTTTATACGTTCGTTATTCGCTTCGTTACACGTATTTCCAGCGACTACCTCGGGAGAAATTGCCGACAATATGTCGGTTCTCGTTAATACTGTGCCAACGATTTTCTCGGAGCTATTTACACGTTTGCTTTCGTTTATCGATACGATCGATTTCTCGTTCGAATTATCTTCTACAACAACCGAATTCTGTTCTTCTTCGACCATTTCTTCATCGTTTGTCACTTTCTCGCTGCACTTATCTTTCCACTCGGCTTGTTCATTCATTATTTCCCCGTTATCCGTCATCGTTAACAATTCGGATTGTTGCTCATCGGCGAACGAACACTTTCCTTCGTTCGACACGGTGCGACTGGTCGGAATCGATGCTTCCAAAACACCGGTTTCATTTTCGATTTCCTTATCGCGAAGCGTCGATACTTCCACGTTAGCGACAATCGAGTTGTTCTTGTTTTTAAGCGATTCGGTTGCAACAAGTTCAAAAACATCGTCGCTACCATCGTTCGAATCGCTACTCTCATAATTTGCAACCAAAGATTGTTTCGTTTCTGTCACAGGTCCACGAGACTTTCCAGATTCCACTATCGTCTCAGACTTTCTAATATCCTTCGGATTTTGCAAATCGATTACGACTTCAACGGCGACGTTCGTGAAATTTTCTTTCCGATTGCTCTCTTCTCGACCAATGTTTGAAACAACTTTGCAATCATTTGTATCGTGTTTTCCCGAACCGATGGATTCTGCTATCGAATTAGAAGAATTCTGTCGAGTATTCGTAAAACCAAGGTTCTCCGTTTTCGCATCCCGCGATAACGAAGCAACATCAACAACAACGTTGGTTTTTCTCTCTTTCACGGACAACGAAGGTGTTCCGGATGAAGTACCGCTTACGAAAAGCACGCGATCTTCGTTCAATTTCATCGATTCTCTATCGGCACGAGTACTTTGATTTCCTAATGTAGCATCGTCAGCATTGTCAGCATTGTCAGCATTGTCAGCATTGTCAGCATTGTCAACATTGTCGGCATTGTCGGTATCGTCGTCGGCACCGTTGTCAAATTTGTTCACAGTTTCGATCAAATTAGATCCATCCACGTCTTTTGGGTTCTCGATCGCGTAACCACCAGGTTCGGATGATCGAAAATGATTCGTGTCAGGTACTATCTCCGTCGATGGTAGTACATCGGATATAGGATATTGATTTTTAGAGAACGTCTTCCCAGAATTTGTACGCGCTTCGACGCCTTGGCACGGAGCAACGTCTTCGTCGCAACCATTGTTCGAGCTACTTATCGTAGGAACTAATTCATTTTTCTCACATTCTTCGACGGATTCTGAACTGGTGACAGCTGCAGTATTCTCCGCGGAGTCCAAATCGGTGTTAATATCGGGCACAGAATTTCTTACGACCAAGCCAACCAGCAAATTTTCTTTCGCTTTTTCAGAAGTTTCAGAAACTTCGTCTAGAATTCGGATGTTCTGCGAAGCATTTGCCACAGTTTGTTCGCTGCCTTCGCCGTAATCGAAGTTCACCGTATCCGCGTCTAAAACGGTCTGTTTATTGGCTGCTATTTCATTATCGCCGTCCAGCATCTGTTCCAATCGATTGGTATTACTCCTCGGTAAAGTATCGGTTTCTTCGCTCTGCTGTTCGTTGAATTTTTCAACGGCCGGATCAGATTCTTTTCCGGAACATACGTTTTCCAGCTCCTTGTCCGCGGAACTATCGACTTGTTGGTCGGTGAAACGTTCAGGCTTGTCCGCGGGATTCGATTCGGAATCGCAATCGTTGTCGTATCTTGTCGCGGGCTGCGAGCTCGAACACGAATCGTTAAGGTACGCCAAATCCGTTCTCCGATCAACGCCGTCTTTCAGCGTTACCGAGTCGAAAGATTTGCAAACAATTTTATCTTCCGAACAAGATATCGGAGTTTCGGTAGTTTTCACAATGCTATCTTCCATGCCCGACATTTCGTTCCGCGATTGCGATTCCATAACCGTGCCACATCCTCTGCTGCCCAATGTTTCATACTGTCTTAACTCGACGGATGAACTCGACGACAGTTCCTCGTTCGAACGATGTTTGCTCAAATCGTTGGTACTATGTGGCTGTGAAACTGCATTCGGCGCATCTGTTCTATCGGATTTCAAATATTTGTCCGTTGCGTGTTCACTACTGGAAATGGGATCTTGTACAGTATCATTGATAGACAATTTCAAATTTTCTGCTGGTTTCGACATTGATTCGGACTCGGACACGTACCTGGATCTGGATCTGAATCTGGCCCTGGATCCGGACCCGGACCTAGACCTAGACTTGGACCTGGACCTGGACCTAGACCTGGACCTGGACCTGGACCTGGACCTGGACCTGGACCTGGACCTGGACCTGGACACCAACCCCGATCCTGTCCCCATTCCCGGCAAGTTTATCTCTGTCTTCGGTATCGTACGGTATTTTTCTTTTATGGAATATTTCGAAGAAACGGATTGCTCCCATGTATCGGTTGGTCCTTCCGTCAGTTCTATTCTGGTCTTATTGTCATCCTCGCACAATTCATTGTCCGATTCGGATGTATATGATTTGACTTTCAAGGAATTATTGTTGGTTTGCGTTACATCAAAGTCGTCCGATTTGTAGGAGGTGATCGTGACATCTTCGATAGGCTTCGAAGAAGAAACACACTCGTACTGCAACGTGTCCGATTTGGATTGTATAGTTGTAGAAACTGTATGATCGGATTGCGATTCGAACGACCCTACTCTCGAAGTGTACGATATACAATTAGGTCCAAAAAAAAATCTTGGCGGCGATGCGGCAGGTTTGCATTCATTGTCTACTTTGTCCAGCAAGAAAGCGTCGGTGGTNTATTTGTCCGTTGCGTGTTCACTACTGGAAATGGGATCTTGTACAGTATCATTGATAGACAATTTCAAATTTTCTGCTGGTTTCGACATTGATTCGGACTCGGACACGTACCTGGATCTGGATCTGAATCTGGCCCTGGATCCGGACCCGGACCTAGACCTAGACTTGGACCTGGACCTGGACCTAGACCTGGACCTGGACCTGGACCTGGACCTGGACCTGGACCTGGACCTGGACACCAACCCCGATCCTGTCCCCATTCCCGGCAAGTTTATCTCTGTCTTCGGTATCGTACGGTATTTTTCTTTTATGGAATATTTCGAAGAAACGGATTGCTCCCATGTATCGGTTGGTCCTTCCGTCAGTTCTATTCTGGTCTTATTGTCATCCTCGCACAATTCATTGTCCGATTCGGATGTATATGATTTGACTTTCAAGGAATTATTGTTGGTTTGCGTTACATCAAAGTCGTCCGATTTGTAGGAGGTGATCGTGACATCTTCGATAGGCTTCGAAGAAGAAACACACTCGTACTGCAACGTGTCCGATTTGGATTGTATAGTTGTAGAAACTGTATGATCGGATTGCGATTCGAACGACCCTACTCTCGAAGTGTACGATATACAATTAGGTCCAAAAAAAAATCTTGGCGGCGATGCGGCAGGTTTGCATTCATTGTCTACTTTGTCCAGCAAGAAAGCGTCGGTGGTCGCGTCTTGCGAAACCACGCTGTCCGAGTTGAAAACGTTTCGCGAAAGTTCTTTGTCGTTCATCGAACGTGTCGAAGGTGTTGCTTCCGTGGTAGAGTCGAGTGCCTCCGAGGTGTCCGCTTGACACGAAGATATAGACGAATCGCACTGCATTGCCGTAGCTTCTTGGAGAGTCGAATTTTGTTGGTGTCCCGCAGAACTATTTCCAGTGTTTTCTTCCGAATCTCGCCTCGCCGCTTCTATATTCTTCTCGTGTAACCTTACATTCTCGGTATGTACAGAGTTTCCATCTATTTTCACGCGTTGCTTCTCATTGGTAGAATCCTCGCACTCGGTTTCGTCATTCTTCGATGATATGTCTCTTTCGTTTGATATGATACTACTATCGCACTCTGTCTTCTCTCCTGGTTTCCCAACATCCCATCTCGACATCCTCTTGACGGAACTGCTCGTGTTCTTCGGTATAATCTGAATACCCAACGTTGGCTTGAACTTTGGCTTCTCTTGCGTCGAACCTACAACTTGACAATTGCTACTTGGCAGCTTTGTATTAGAGACACCGGACTGAGGGAAATTCCTGTTTAATTTGATTGTAGGCTTATTCGTCGTTACCAGCGAGCAACCGGTTGAAATCTCGGTTAGAAGGATCTCCTCGGATAAGCTTTTATTATTTGGCGACAGAGACGAAGTAGCCGAGTCAGCTTCGTTTTTTGATTCGTTGCTTTCTTTATTGTCGGCCGACGTGTCCTCGCCGGGATTGCCTGTCTGACATTCTTCTCCGGACCCTTCACCGTAAATAAAAACAATCGGTTCTTCGACTGCTTCGCCAAGGCCGGGGTTGACAGCATCGCAATCGCTGCCCGATCCTTCGCCTTGAATCATCATCATTGGTTCTTCGATGGCTTCGCCAACTTCGTCCCTCCAGTTTCTACCGATAAGCGGTATTTTATCCATAGATCCTCTGATCGGTATCACGTCGGCCCTTAGTCTTTTCAACACATCCTGTTGCATATCGTCTCCTTCTATCGGACGCTTTATCGATGTCGCGCTCATCCTTAAAGACGTTATCTTGCTTGGATCCGGAAGTATCGTGTAATTTGGTAATCTGTGGTCTTCCTTGGTGGGTAACCTGGCGGTATTATGATACGGTGTAGAGGCCATTTCATAAGCAGGAAACGACATTTGTCTTTTACTCAAGTCCGCGACCATCGCGTGATTACGCATCATCACAGCACGAGCGTCGTACGGTGAGTTCGTCACTTCTGGTTTATTCAATTTCTTCGTACTAAGGTCCATTTCTCTGTGTTGAAAGTCTTGCGTTCTATAACCGGCAGTCGGTAAATCCACACCTTTATTGAACTTTCGACTAGATAAATCTATTCCGGAGAAATCCATCGGCCTATTTTGTTCGTTAGCACCTTCCCAGCCTCTGGGCGACGTAGATAAATCCATACCCCTGTGCCCTCTAAGCGTATTGGCTTTCTCAGTTTGACCTCTTGCACAGAAATCTTGCGGTAATCGGTCATCGTCTCCGTTTACCGTGTTTCCTCCAACGATGCTACTCGATCTTGCCAAATTCTCGGCTATTTTCTCCAAAGATTTGGCGCCACTTGGCTTTTCGAGTTTCTCCGATTGTATCCTTACAAGGTTTGCCGCCAATTGATCGATAGGTTTCACGGATAATTTACTGTGTATCGTTGGCATATCCGTCGATGGAAACGAAAGACTATTTTTACTGGCCGACTTGTCCAACGGTTTAACCATTTGTTCCACTAAGTCTTCTTGTTTTTTTACGTTCAGACCTGTACCTGCCGTTGTTGTCCCAGCAATCTGCTTCTCTTCGTACGATTGTTTCATTTCAACAATGTTTACCAACTTCAGAGGAGACGTGATAACAGGTGTTTCAATCGATTTAAGCGGCAACAATTCGTCCGCATTAACTTTCGAATTATTACATATTGCCATATCATGTTCCTCAGATTTAGCATTAGATATATTAAAAACAGTTGTAATTCCAGACTCTTGAGGTTTGTTCGTTTCTCTTTCTTGGGACACGGTCGATTCTTTTCCTGATGTTGCATCAACTTTCTCGTTATTGACTGTCAATGAAGATTTCGGTACCGAGGAAGATGCAGCAACATAATTTGACTCCGCTGCTTGATTTTCTATTATTTCCTGAGAATCGTCTTCTTCTGTATTTTCTTTCGAATTTTCGTCGTTCGTTGCCTCATCCTCGGCTTCCACCACGTCTTCTTTGGCGCGATCGATTTCCTTGGCGTTACCTTTCTGTCTTTCCTCTTCGCAATAATCGGCTCTATTCTTTGCTATTTCTTTTCCGTCCAAACCTTCGATGTGAACACCGTTTTCTTGCACAGTCTCGTCTTCCAAACTTGGGGACGTTGTTATTTGCCCCGTATCGATAATAGGTTTCTCAGAAATTTCTAAACTATTGCTATCTTCATTGATCGGAATAGCTGCAATCTCGCCATTCGATAAGGTGTTTATAAGATTGACAACACCTTCCCGATCCCTGGTATTAACAAAAGAATAACTAAGTATCTACTTTCATATATAAGCTGTTTTTAAAAGTAAAGAACATGAGCTAGTAGAAAACTTACTTAGCCACAAGCTCCCAATTTTCTTCATCTATATCTTCCCTATAAACTCTTATATTGCACTCTTCGTCGAGCTGACACCAATATGCTAAACCAGATTTATCTCTGCCCATTGGTTCCACGCGTAGTTCGTTAGCTGCCAATTTATTCACTTCATTTTTAAATTTTTGATTCAAGTCGAATTGAGTTTCCAAAAGAACCTGTAACGACAAAGATCTTTCATGTATGGTAAACGGGACCACGAGAGCTCCGAAAGAAGCTTTCGCAAATAATAGTTGAAGTTTTCGTTGTTATTTCTTTATAAAACACAGTGAATCATTTTAATATGTACTTTGAGTAAGCGTAGCTTAACCGCGATGCGAGCCTTTTTATAACCAAAACGTTCGAGTTCCCATCCATCCTGATTAGAATACGTATGGCAGAACTTGACCAGTGCTCGTTCCCATTTTTCTGGTGATACCGTTTTACGTGTTTTACGCAACAATTTGATGTGTAGGTCTATCAATTGTTGTGGTACTACAATAAAAATAATCGGTCATTACAATTGAACAGAACATATATTCTAAGGTATCTAAACGCTAATGTTTAATGATAATAATAATAATAATATATATATATATATATATGTATCTTTGAATAATAAATTGATTGCTAACTATTTCCCTCGGTTTATTTTTCAAAAATTAAAAGAATTAAGACACGACACGAACCTGAAACATATAATATATACATACATACATACGTGTATATCTATACACGTATGTGTACTATTATGTACTATACACGTATGTGTACATATATCTATATGTACGTATATTAAATACTTATTATTATGCGTGCATATAAATATATTAAAGAATTTCTTGAATATTTTTTCTGAATATTAGATTATTTCAACTAAATTATTTCATCATGAATTAACAAAATATTAGTTCAAATCAGAATATCGATAAGCAATAATCATTCCAAGTACGCTAATAGAAAATAAGAGTATGTTTAGGTTATCAAAGAATTAATAGTAGAGGATATTGAATTAACTGTCACAATAATGGAAAAATAACCTCTAACAATTAACCGAATTTATAGTTAAAAATGTGTTAGATACTTTCATGTTCGTCTATCACAAATTCCCTGTTTTAATCGGGTAGTTTTCGACGTTGAAAGGAATACGTATTTCCAGATAAAGTATACCATGACAATGACATTTTTAAATAACATATTCCAATGAAAATAGCAAAGAATTTGGCGTGTCGAACAAAATAGTACTGTTGAGAAAAATCAACCAACATGTACAAGTTGAGTATGAATAAATTTGTTTGTTACCGTATGTATTCGAAGAATCACCACGCGATTCTTAACTAGCAATCACGTGTAACCGACATTGACAACAAGGGAGGTGGCAGCACAGGAGAAAATAACAACAGAGAAGAGAGAGCGAATCGAACTCGCCTGTCAATAATGTTATTGAAACATACCGATGAATCCTAACTGCTCGCAATTATTCTAAATGGTTGAATCCATGCGATTAATCGAATTGCTACGAATGAAGTGTACATACAAAGAAACAAAAGACGAAGGGCATATGTGCGAAATTGCGGCTAGCATATCGCTGGAGAGAAAAAGGGATAAAAACAGAGCGACGAATAGCGTGTTTACTCGTTAATATACGATCCGAATGGTGATACTATAAAGTTCGAAGAGCCAGTCAAGTCGAAGAGAATGGGAATAAGCGGTAAACAAGAGAATAGGTCCGAGAGAGACGAAAGTAGTTAGAAAAACTGTAATATAGCACGCGAGGCGAGACTTTTGGCCTCGCGGGGGCGGGTCAGTCATTCCCTCTCACTCTCTCGCGCTCTTTTCTACGCATACACGTATGCAGACTTGAGAGTTTACTTACCATCCTGCGTGTTCTCGAGCATCTCTTGAAGGCGCGCGATATCCGGATAAATGATGCCACAGGACTTGCCAAAGCACTCGAGGAACGAGCAGATCACAGCGAAATTTGGGTCACTCGCGCAAGAGGCTTCGTTATCGGACGCCATTTTTCCGCCGCTTCTCTCTGGGCCCGTCGCCGCTAGGCGATACACTACGCTAGGCGGCCTAACAACTCGTATCGCATTTTCGTGAAACCGCCTCCGCTGGCCGAGATCGAATCGCCGCGGGGCTCCTCTGAGATCGAGATATCAAGAAAAACGTTGAAGTTGAACACGGCTCAAAGTTGCTCGAAGTCGCTCAAAATCAACGAAACGCCGGCCTTAAACGAATGTTCCGACGCCGCTTCCCGCTTCTCGTCGCTTCACTCACCGTCCAAGTATACCTTCCGTCCGATGTCCTTCTCTCGCTCTCTCTCTCTCTCTCTCTCTCTCTCGCTCTCTCTCTTTCTCTCTCTACCTGGCGCTCACACCCGCATCGGGAAACCACAAGCGGATGGCGGATACGAAATAGCACACGCGCTCTTTTGCGTCACAGAAACACCAGATCGGATAAACGAAACAGGGGAATGGAGAAAAACGGGAGGCGAGGGAAACAACCGTGGACCGCGCGCAAAGCAAACCTTGTTTTTCTCCCTGTTCCCCTCGTTTTCGCAACTTCCCCACTTTATTGTCGGTACTGTTTCCGACGATTCAAGAAATCGGAGGGTTTCTCGCTCTCTCGCGGTTCTCACTCTCTCCTTGTTCACTTCGCACTTTTCCACATATCACAGTGCTCGACCGCAAACACACCGACACGCAGAGCCGAGCAGAGATCGTTGCGCCTCTTAAGTACAACATACAACGACGTCGAAGCGTATGCGTGTGTATGCGTGTGAGCGTGATGCGTTGTGTCGTGCCGTGTCATGTATGCACGCGCGGAGAACGCGCGCGCGCGCGCNCATGCGATTAATCGAATTGCTACGAATGAAGTGTACATACAAAGAAACAAAAGACGAAGGGCATATGTGCGAAATTGCGGCTAGCATATCGCTGGAGAGAAAAAGGGATAAAAACAGAGCGACGAATAGCGTGTTTACTCGTTAATATACGATCCGAATGGTGATACTATAAAGTTCGAAGAGCCAGTCAAGTCGAAGAGAATGGGAATAAGCGGTAAACAAGAGAATAGGTCCGAGAGAGACGAAAGTAGTTAGAAAAACTGTAATATAGCACGCGAGGCGAGACTTTTGGCCTCGCGGGGGCGGGTCAGTCATTCCCTCTCACTCTCTCGCGCTCTTTTCTACGCATACACGTATGCAGACTTGAGAGTTTACTTACCATCCTGCGTGTTCTCGAGCATCTCTTGAAGGCGCGCGATATCCGGATAAATGATGCCACAGGACTTGCCAAAGCACTCGAGGAACGAGCAGATCACAGCGAAATTTGGGTCACTCGCGCAAGAGGCTTCGTTATCGGACGCCATTTTTCCGCCGCTTCTCTCTGGGCCCGTCGCCGCTAGGCGATACACTACGCTAGGCGGCCTAACAACTCGTATCGCATTTTCGTGAAACCGCCTCCGCTGGCCGAGATCGAATCGCCGCGGGGCTCCTCTGAGATCGAGATATCAAGAAAAACGTTGAAGTTGAACACGGCTCAAAGTTGCTCGAAGTCGCTCAAAATCAACGAAACGCCGGCCTTAAACGAATGTTCCGACGCCGCTTCCCGCTTCTCGTCGCTTCACTCACCGTCCAAGTATACCTTCCGTCCGATGTCCTTCTCTCGCTCTCTCTCTCTCTCTCTCTCTCTCTCGCTCTCTCTCTTTCTCTCTCTACCTGGCGCTCACACCCGCATCGGGAAACCACAAGCGGATGGCGGATACGAAATAGCACACGCGCTCTTTTGCGTCACAGAAACACCAGATCGGATAAACGAAACAGGGGAATGGAGAAAAACGGGAGGCGAGGGAAACAACCGTGGACCGCGCGCAAAGCAAACCTTGTTTTTCTCCCTGTTCCCCTCGTTTTCGCAACTTCCCCACTTTATTGTCGGTACTGTTTCCGACGATTCAAGAAATCGGAGGGTTTCTCGCTCTCTCGCGGTTCTCACTCTCTCCTTGTTCACTTCGCACTTTTCCACATATCACAGTGCTCGACCGCAAACACACCGACACGCAGAGCCGAGCAGAGATCGTTGCGCCTCTTAAGTACAACATACAACGACGTCGAAGCGTATGCGTGTGTATGCGTGTGAGCGTGATGCGTTGTGTCGTGCCGTGTCATGTATGCACGCGCGGAGAACGCGCGCGCGCGCGCGCACCTTCGCTCGCAATAATAACGATGCACGTAATCGCGGGGTATCGCGTTCCCCAGGCATATTACTTTGTACCTCGCCGTTCCGTCGGCGAGAATCGTTGTTGCTCTCGAATCACTGGCTGTATCCGGAGAAACAATGTACACTGCACAACCACAACAACGAAAACCATCCCCCTTCCTTGCACCGTAGCGCACTGGACATCGCCTTCGGTCTTCGGTCTTCGGGCTTCGGGTCTGGGCTGGTCCGGGCTATGGGCTACAGGCTACACACAGGCTACGGGCTACAACGGGCTACGAAACATTTAGGGGGTTCTCAACCTCGAGCCCACACCGGTCACCTGCAATGCTTTTAGTCATACCTAAGTAAGTACATACACGCGTACTTACATATTTACAAAGCTACTTTTCTCTAGGAACGTTCAAAAGTTTCCCCATCATAGTTTTCTTCGATGTACAGATTTGTGAAATTATTCTATATAGAACATAGTAAATCAACTCTTTGGATTCGGGAGTATGATTTGGTAAGCTCTGAATTAACTATATTAATTAAACTTACGAAGCAAACAATTCGTTTCATAGTAATTGTTTTCGATTCGAATTTTCATCGAATCACTTTTCAATTTGTATCGAATTTCAATTTGAAACGAAGCTTCTTTTCAATTATCGGTTATATTATTTAGCCTGTTCGCATACTCTCTGTTCTACAGCAAGTAATAAGAACAATTGTATTTTATTTTGTATATTTCCCATAATTTATAACCGTGTTTGATTCCGATCTAGAGATAATTATCTTTTCTATAATTAAACAGTTCATAAAGTACTATATCGAAAGAATAGAAAAACTTGGAGAAATATTGAATATTTCAATGTAACTGAAAAATAAAAGTTTGACTTGATCCGACTCGAAATACTCGCCGGAAAACCACAAGCTCGATCACAGTAGAACAAACACAACGAACGATTCATAAAGTTTCTTCGATCTACCTTTCAATTTCGATTGTATCGAAAGAGCGCGAAAAGTTCGTGATACATAGACTGTTATCGAGTATCGAGAGCGCACGTTTCAAGACCTTCAAGGCTTCGCCGACCCCTACTCCCGAGCGAAGCTCTCGCTCAATGACGTAGTTCTGCGTAGTTCCGTACAAGTTCGAATAGCGGGGGCAACGATTCAATCGATCAGAGTCTCTCAAGTAAAGGATATACAAATGTGCTTATGTACAATTTTGTACAGTAGCACTTAACGACGCGTTCGGTTTTGAAGAATTACCAACAAAAAATGCTAGCGTTAAAATATTAGCATTAGACTATTGAGCTATGTGTGGAAGAGATGTATAATATGCACAGGATGCACAACCTAACGCACTACATTTTGGCTTTGGTTTTCATACGGTTTACGATTGTTTACGGTTATTCACCGTGGATCGTAGCGCAGCCGAAGCCATCTATTTTACGCCGCCGTGCAACAAACGCGATGTTCTACACGGCGACGTTTCGTGATAGGCCGAGATTGTAATTGTATGACTGTTGCGATCGATCGTAGCAGCAAGAAACACTAAAGAATCTCTATGTATGCTTACATACATACTATGCGCATACATATATGGAGTATAAAGACTCTTTGTCGACACCCTTGTGTTCTATGCAGCAAATCGCAGAATCTTTCCTTTGATCCTTTGGATTGTTCGTTCTCTTTTCGACCGTTCAGTTAACCATTATTTTCAGGACGATGATAATTCGACATTTCGAGTAAGACGAGCCGGAAATCCATCGGATCGATCGATAGGCAAACTTTTTAAAATATGAAAGTTTTTTTGAGACAGACGGTGCTGCCACTGCGAGTTTGTTTCAAATCGATAACGCGGGACACATTTTTACCGAGATTATCGATCATATTTCTACGCGAGGAAATGCGCGAATTGGATCGTTTTGTTAGTTTTCATGATTTTATTAACTTATTAACTTATACATAATCGTCCATGTAATATATGTTTGTGCTTGAATCGTCCGTAGTGTATACGTATCACGTACGTCTACACATTATGTGACATTGATGTACAAAATTCGACATCTACTACGCGAGTCTGTTACGCTTCTAGGAAGGAGAAATCGTGTTTTTCTATATACTACTGCTATAGCTATATTTTGAAGAAATAAATAACATATTTCGTAGTTTTTAACTGGAAAATTTATTAAAATTTTCTTTGAAACTTTTCTCTCGGCGATCTTACATGCCAAATCTACTCTTTTAGAAGTATTTGGTGTATTTAATTCCTGCACAGACAATTGTCCTACATAAACGTATTCGAATAACAGGAAACTCGAATAAAAGAGGTACGAAAAGTATTTCTTATGATTAAACCGTGTAATAATATTGTACGAACGATTCGTGAAATATAAAATGTTTATTTTCGAATAAAAGTTTTCTAACTTTGCATCCCAACATGTTCTATCGGTATATGTATAAATGTTCGTATTTACAGGGTATATTACTAGAAAAAATCTTAGCATTATTTTATTAGTTGCGTTTGATGGTGATCGACACTGTTCAATTCCCTCTCATACTCTATACATTATAACATTTTTTACCTGAGTAGACTACTTTCCTTTTTCTTTGATTTTTTTTGTCTGCTGTACATACATAATTCTCGCTTATATGTATATCGTATTCTTAAGCTAGAAATTCGAATATATTGGGTATGCACGAATACATAGCACAGTACATGCTGTTAGATAAAACAAAGAGACTTGCCTGGCATTCTCTTCCACAACGCATTTCGAATGAGCATATTTGTTTCGGCGCACCAGAATCATTGCATAGATGCGCTTGGAATGAAATCACCTTGTTCGTAAGAAACTATACAGAGTGTGATAACAGTATCCAAATAACGTGTGTGAACCTGTCTTTCTAAATGAATTATATTTTACACTGCTGCAAGGCGTATTCTATTCGATTCGATCATTTGCTTTCCACATTTTGCTTTCCGGACACGTTCTGTTTATAAAAAAATATTTCTTTTTCCGCCGATTCAATGGAAAAATTATTACGTTGCGAACGATTCAATATTTTACAACTCCTCGATTCTCTTATATTTCACTATAAACTTTTTTATTACCAAATTTCATTAACGCTTTTCTTACTACAAAATATAAACAGTTAGGAAACATTCATTTCTTTAAGGTTTCTGACCATAAAATTTGAAAACTTTTATAGAAATTTCCTATCTATTTAGTTTCTTCTCTTTCTATGTAATTCTAGTTATTTATCAATACTGCATAATCATTCTTTATCGTTAGGCAACCTTACGAAGTATATAAAAATTTACTATGTACAAAATAGATCATATACAATTTAAAAATATGTATCCTTCGATACCTATCGCTTACTATTTTATATTATTTTTCACTCCTTTTCTTCCTTCTGCATTAAGGTATTGTAACGTGTCGTCAATATGAAAATTGGTATACAGTACTAATAATCACTGCTCGTTAATAGTACCCGATTGATAACAGACAGAGACAGTTGAATAGCAAGGCATTGAAATCATGCAACATGTTTACGTATCAACATCAAATCGAATTGGCGCAAAAAATTTGATTTTAACTGATTCAAAAATTAACGATACTATATATAATATGAAGGACTTCCGTTGTAATTTTATGCGACACATTATGTGGAAAGCAAATTAAACATGTCGTGTTCTTACATGTCTTTAAAGAAAAAAAAAAAAAAAAAATACGTTTCGTTTCCATCTAGATTAGACTTAATAATTATATGCATCCTTTACAGCTTTCAAAAAGCATGCATGTGTGTTAAATAATACAGAATTATGCCCGATGAATGGAAATAAAAAATTGTGGAAGAATCTTGCTGATTCTCCGAGATGCTCTCTACAAAAAAGAAAAAAAAAAAAGAAAAGAAAACGAAATTTAAAGAAAACAAGCAGTTATTAATAAAAAGTGCGCGTAAGTACTATCATAATGCTTTGCAATAAGAGATTGAAGAAAGAACAGCTTAAAATATAGAGATGCAATTTCCAACCGAGCTGCTGAACAAGACTGAAAATTGTATATGTAAAATGTTCTATTGTAGAAAAAGCAGGACTACTCGTAAAACGTGACTCGATCGTTGAATGTGTCATGATCAAAATCACTTGGCTGCCCTTTGCGCTGTAATGTTTTTTAGTTGCTGCTTATAAATTTCTGCCTCCTCCTCTTTCTTTTGAAGCCGTTTACGATATTCTGCTGCTTGCCTTCGTGCTTCGGCCAATTGCCTATTTAAAAGGACAATATCCATTACCGGTTCATTGGTATCTGTATGATCGTCTTCGATAATTTCCTCAATTTCGTCATCCAACTGTAAAATTATTGGCTCCGTGATTTTTGTTGAAGCGCTAATTATTTTGCTCTGTTGAAATCATAGAACGCAAATATACTAAAAATATATGCTTTCGTTAAAATAACGAATAAATAGATTCGATCGTCGTACCTCTGGCGATGAAACGATATTTTTCGATTGTGTGGGCGTTGACACGGGTGTAGCGTTAGAGATGGATGAAATGAATAATTTGCCAGGCTTATTATCAACAGAAGACCTTTTCAATATGTTCGGCCCTCTAGAGGTAAGAGTAGGTGTAGCGTGATTCAATATTTGATCTGCTCTAATTGCTATCACTTTCCTCGAAGTTCCTTTTTTTCCAGCTACTTGAAGTCGTTTCACTCCTATCGAAGAGTTTCTTGTTAGATTCAAAGCAAGCTTCCCAGCTTCTGTAGACAAACGTATAATCGACATCGATAGAAACGAATTTCATTGAATTATGCAAGTTTCAAACATTTCGTACCAGTCAAAACGACCGTTCTTCCACTTTCCATTGCATTCTCCACGATAGAAGAATTATTATCCACGGGTATCATTGTGATCCCATGCGCTTCTAGTAACCTAAACTGTTTATTCAGTCCCCCAACAACTGGAATATCTTTACGTTTTCTAGCATTGTTTGGATTATTCGCATTAGTAATTTCATCCGCATCTTCAACCTCTTTGTCCTGATCGTCATCGGTGTTCGGTCCAACGTGAATTTGTTGAAAAAGCATTCGTTGTTTTTTCCCAACTTGGACAATATGTTTAAGAAAAATTAATAATATTTTCTAGATGTAAATATTTACACGAGAAAACGATTTTCAAAGTTAAGCAATGTACCATGAGTAATTTTTCTTCTCGGTTGGGACTCCTGTTGTAATAATTCAAATTTCTGTTGTTCCTCGTCTCTTTCGGATTCTAATTGTATTAAATTATGAGTTGCTACTTCGAGTTCTGCCGTATTCGCTTGATTTTGTTGATGAGCTCTAACGCCGACAATCTCTCTTTCTTGTTGCAGTATATCTACCAAATCTAATCTATCGTGTTCCAGCGCAAGACTAATCGGAGTCTTGTCAAATTTGCTAGTCGCATTCGCGTCTGCTCCATGTTCTAATAAAACGTGCATTACTTCTATATGTTCCCTCTCAACTGCCCAATGCAGAGGAGTCATTTTTAACTGAAAACATTCGTTTTGACACAAGCGTAGAAAACCAATGTCGGTTATGTCATTCTTATTTTATTTACCATATCTCTGCTATCGGCGTCTGCACCATAATTAAGAAGTAATTGGGCCATCTGGTGATGGCCTTCGTACGCAGCCATATGTAAAGGTGTTCGGTCTACTTTTGTTCTCGCATCCCTCGAAATTCCTGCTCTCAGTAAAACTTCTGCAGTGTCCGTATGGTTATTCTGGGCAGCAAAGTGCAACGCGCTGGTACCCAGCTAACAAAGAACAATACGAACGATACAATTACTATTCTATAAATAATAAATAGATTATATCGTTCGAGTAAATATACCCAATCTGTAGTGAAAGGAGCTCCTCTGCACATAAGATCACGAACAGTATCCGTGTCCCCATACTTTGCACTAAAAAGCAACTGTTTCCCTAATTCCACTATCGATATGGCATCTTGAGATCTTACACGATGAGACACATCAAGGATTTCAACCTAGGAAATATCTTTACTTCAGATATAGCGTCCCTTAAATACAACAAGTAGTAAGGTATATTATAATGGAACGTATGTACATACAGGTATAAGGGTATCTGTGTCCAGACCCTCAATATCATTAGTGCAAATACTTGCAGCTTGCATGTTTGTGTATTAAACTCAATCCCGTTCTTTTTGGTGCACACTAAAATCAAATGATCCATAACAATTGTTATCGATTGGGCTTTTTTCAAAGTAAATAGGACTAGCTGTGACCGTTCCATTTTTCACTCTGTGCAGTTCCGTTGGTGTTGCTCGACCTTGAGCCACCGGAATCGAAAGTAGGTCGGAAAAAATTAAAATCCGAGTCGAATTCAATGGTATCAAAACACAATCTATTCGCTTTTGTCTACTTGCTCGGAAATGTAGCGTGTATATTTTTCGAAATTTTCCTCGGTACAGGATGTTTTTATTTTGCCATTTCAGATTGCGAGGAACTTCCTGTTCCTGTTCATTAAACGGAAGTCCCATGCCATAGGCCCCGTGTTTTGTGCTTGAAACGAATCAAACCGACGAAAAATAGCATGGAGAGATGATATACTTACGGCCAGTTCATTATTCTCGCTTTTTCGTGATTTTTCCTCTAGTTTTCCGACACACGCACTCTTTTTCAGGAATTCTTCCTCCCCACGGCCTTCTCGATTTACCGTCTTGGTAAAGTTTCATGAAAATGGCGACAGGTTGGCGCCATTCCTAAGTGCAATTTTTCTTACCGTTTCAAACAATGTTTGACATAGATAAACATTGATTTTCCTGATTAAAAATGTTTCTTCCCTACGAAATAATGTATTTTTGAAAGAGATTTCTATCGTTTTACTTGAAATCTTCTTTGGTAATGATTAAATATGTTCAATCGCATGATGAATCGCAGCGCCACGTGGTGGCGCGTATCTAATATGTTCTTCATTGAATTGGTTAGGTACGTTGGTTATGTTTAAGAAAGGTTAGGTTACGTCGCAAACTTTTCTTCTTGGGCATTCTTGGGGTTGTACATATTTCGAAATATGTAATAAGTAGTTCAATTAATTGGTATAATATCGATGAACGAATAAAATAACAGGCAGTTTATTTATTTCGCTATCCGAAGCTCAGGATTCAAATCTCTTTCAATCCGTTCACCGAGTACACAATAGGGAAACTATTGTATGTACGTACCTATATAATAATATAATAATTCACCGTTTAATAAAAAGTCCATAATCAATCATAACACGTGCCAGACAGGCAAGATACTTGTTCATTACATACATAATATATTTACCAAACAATCGAATCTTGATTACAATCTTTGCTTCCTCCAAAATCAACAAAATCTTTTCATTGTAAATGTTTGAAAGTACATACATACATCATGCATACATGATCAACGATCTTCGTACAAATATTATTTACGTTACTTTTTGTATGTATTGTAAGCGTCGAAAGATTTTCGAATCAATTTTCTGACCCGATCCGCCTTTTTCTTTTGTAGGTGTTTATTACACTCTATTCATATATTTTTTTGTCTTTTTAATGAAATAGAACGATACAACAAAAATAGCAACAACACAACGATGTGAATCGTTACGCGTTACATAGTACTGTACATCTTGGCTATCGTCACACAATACTAAAGATGTTAAAGAACACTATACATTCACATCTTTTCTCTTTTAATGATCTGCGTTAATAATTTTTTGTTTTTAATAGTTTATATTATAAGTTATATTATACTATATATATATAAATATGTAAATATCGTCCCTTAAGATTTGCTGTTAAGGTTCTCTGCTAGAAGAGGGTTTTTTTTTTGTTTTTCTAATAAACACGCAGTAAAATAATTTAAACATATTTTTATTCAGACTAAAGAATGGAAAATAAATTGTAACATTAAAAAGAAAAACACGGGAACTTCCTTATCTACCTTATTTTCCAAGATATATATTTGTACATTTGCATTCTCTTTTTTCATCCTCGAATGGATAGAAAAGAATTTGTGTTCTGCAGTTTATGAATTTAGAAACGAATTTGTTGTTGTGTCTCGTCGAAAAATTTTCGGTGACGAAGCGACGAATCAATGTAGTAAATATGTTTACGGAACATATTACGATGCATTTTTATTGAAAAGAAATTTTCTATAATGTTGTAAATTTCGTGCATTTCATTATCTAAGCCTTAAAAAATTGTTATATTTATGCGGAATATTGATATACGGTATGTTCGTATACTGTATTCTATATAAGTTGTTGAGGAACATAAAATTTAATTTCTTAAAACGATAATGCTTATAAATGCGTAACATAAAGATAAGTGGTTATGGAACAAATATTACACAACATGTATGCAACACATTCTTTTTCTGTGCACCTTCATCCCCCGTTTTGAAGTACGACTATACTAAACATGTTTAACGTTCCGGTTACGTGATTGTAAATTATGGTCGTGTATTTGCAACTCTAATTACCATATATAATTACCGTATAGCGGAAAAGTTAACATTACGATTGAATTGCAATATTGGCCAAATGTCAATGAGAATAGAATGTTCAGTCTTTATGGAAGTTTCACTTCATTACATGCCCATGCCTCCCATACCACCCATACCGCCCATTCCTCCCATGCCACCACCCATTGGCATCTGAGGTTCTTCCTTAGGCAACTCTGTTACAACTGCTTCTGCAGTTGTGAGCAATGATGCAACACCCGCCGCATCAGTAAGCGCTGTGCGAACTACTTTCGTGGGATCAATGATTCCTTTCTCAATCATATCAACGTATTCGTCGTTCAAAGCATCGTAACCTAAATTACTTTCACTAACTTTGGCCACTACCACACTCGCGTCAACACCTGCATTTTGAGCAATTTGTAAACACGGCATACGTAAAGCGTTAGCTACAATTTTAATTCCTGTTTCTTGATCACTATTCAATGATTTAACATTTTTTAAAGCAGGAATACATCTCAGGAGAGCAGTTCCACCTATAAAATAAAAGAATCTTCATTAGATACTTGTATAAATAGGCAAATATAAATTTAAAAAAAAACATTATGTTTACCTCCTGGAACAATGCCTTCCTCGACAGCAGCACGAGTAGCATTAAGAGCATCGTGAACTCTATCTTTCTTCTCATTAACTTCCACTTCACTGCTACCGCCGACTCTCAAAACTGCAACTCCCGATGCTAACCTTGCCAAACGTTCTTGCAGCTTTTCCTTCTCGTACTCTGAAGTTGTATTTGTTATTTGATCTCTAATCACATCTGCCCTGTGGTCGACGTCACTCTTTTTTCCTTTGCCTTTAAGGAATAGTGTATCGTCCTTCGTAATTACTACCTCTCCTACTTCGCCCAAATCACACGCCTGTACATTTTCTAACTTAATGAGATTCGCATCGTCTCCGAAAACGATTCCACCAGTTAATATTGCCATGTCTTGAAGGGTTGCTTTCCTATTATCGCCGAAACCAGGGGCTTTAACAGCTGCGACTTGCAAACCTATTTTCAATCTGTTTACCACAAGAGTTGATAATGCTTCACCATCAACGTCTTCTGCGATGATGACTAATGGTTTCCGCTGCGAGTTTGCTAATTCCAAGGCTGGAATTATAGATTGTACAGACGATATTTTTTTCTCACTGAAGAGCAAAAGCGCATCTTGAAATTCAACTTTTGCTCCTTTACTAGAATTTATAAAGTATGGAGATATGTATCCTCTATCGAATTTCATTCCTTCTATAACTTCGAGTTCGTCGTGTAGCGTTTTGCCATCCTTTACTGTAATAACACCTTCCTTTCCAACTTTCTTCATGGCATCGGAAATAAGATTGCCAACAGCTTTGTCCCCGTTAGCCGAAATGGTCGCAACTTGTGCAATTTCCTCTGGTGTAGTGACTGGTTTACTTAAAGCTTTCAATTCATCTTTAACCGTATCAACTGCTAACATAACGCCTATAATATAAATGTTAAAATAAATGAAGAATATTGCGCTTAAAACAATGTGTTATATAAAATATCTATAGAAATAACAATAATATAAGATCCTTTTTACCTCTTCTTATTTCAACAGGATTAGCACCTTTACTAATTTTTTCAAAGCCTTCTCTAGCAATAGCTCTTGCTAAAACTGTAGCTGTTGTTGTACCATCGCCAGCTTCTTCATTGGTATTATTTGCTACATCTTGTACCAACTTTGCTCCAATATTCTGAAACTTATCCTTCAATTCTACACCTTTTGCCACAGTAACACCATCTTTGGTAATTTTTGGACTACCCCAACTTTGTTCCAATATAACATTACGACCCTTGGGGCCCATTGTTACTGCAACAGCATCTGCTAAAATGTCTACACCTTGTAACATAAGTGCTCTAACTTCTGATCCAAAACGCACATCTTTGGCATAACAACGAACTTGTAACTGGCGCAAAGCAGCACCGCGCAACATAGACGGCAATCTGTACATCTGCAAAAAATATAAATAAAAATACATTTGTTTTTGCAATTTAAATATTTAATTACATATACCAAATTCCAAAGCACGCTATCTTATGAAAATTGAATTCTTTGTGGTATCAGGTAAGTGCCGTTTAACAATTTCACATTCATATTTTCTACAATGTCGATGATCGAAAAAGATTTAAACGTGAGATGCACAATTACGTTTTGGTAGTAAATATGGTTATTTAAACTACCGCGTGAATGATAACCAACATTTCCAAAAGTAAATTATTTCAAAAATTATTGCATTTTATAATACCATTTTACGTAAAAATTAATATTATGGTATACGCTCTATTTTTATTTCGCAAAATTCAGTTTTGTATTATTTAAAATAACATACAGTATAGATTAACCTAGCCGGCTGTCTTAACGGGCACAATTTCGATAGCGAAAAATATATATAGTTACATACAGAAAATAAGCTTTAATAAAACAGAAGTGATTTAGAATAAGCACAATTATACGTACGAATAAAAAAAAATTATATTAATTTACCATGCATTCACTATATTCTATTATCTTATTCAGCACTCGTAATCTTATATATATGAAAGTATGAATTTCCGAAATTACAGAAACGGAACGAATAATTCTAATACGAAAGTAAGTTAACAAAGGTCGAAAAAAGAAACAAAAAGAGAAGCATGTGATGAAATGGATATCGTAATGAAAAAATTATTTGAATATGATTTAGCCGGTTAACAACACCGATAGAATTAAAGAGCTTATTTCGTCTAAAATATACAGTAATAGATCGATTAAAATATTTTTACCTTTATCTAATGAAAAAGCAAAAAGGTTTGGTTAAGAAATCGCAACTGCAAAAGCAATTGAAAATCGTCGCAGCGTGACCGCACGTTGTCTCACCACGAGAATAAGATGGAGAGAAGTGAAGAGTGAAAGGAGCTTGCGGAACGGCTTGCGCTATCACATGGAACGATGGAACAGTTCCCCTCCCTCTTCAGCTTATTCTAACCTAACCTTTAAATATTTGATCACGAAACGTGCAAAATTTCATATCAATATATGAATGGAATAGATGTAAGACGATTTAAATAAAATATTTGTAATCCCTTCATTTTTATTTGTTTAACAGCACATCATGTATTGGCATCGTCAATAATTTGTATTTCACATGTGGAATGTTGAGCTTCTAGAATGTACTGGAACTCGTGTGATGTAATCGTTCTGTATACACCAATCACATTCGTCAAAAAATTGTCGAATTTGTTTTTTACTCAGTGCCACGGTGTACAACAATGCATACATACATATGTGCATATGTACACCATGCTCAGCACTTGGTACATATGTACTTCTAAATTTCTAGATGCTTCATCGATGCTTATCGATGTACATATATGCATATGTATGATAGCTGAAATGAACATATATTTATGTAGATGAAATTAGGGATCTTTATTATTGTTTTTCTTCTATACAGATATAAGTTAATAAATATAATATATTCTTATCTTACGCATTACCTACAAATATTCAACTACATATATGGATTCAGTTTCACTTCGACTCTTATGGTACAACGTTACATTAATCGAAAAAATACGATATTTAAATTTACAATAGATATGTACTTGATCATGCATTTCATTGATTCTTTAATTGATAAGGGCATATGTATTTATGTATGTACATGCTAAAGTCTGAAATGTGCTGCAGAATAGTGCAATTACAAAATCAATACATATATGTTGGGTTGGTGTTGGTGTTGGTGATGGTGGCGGTGGCGCAGGGGGAAGGGGCTAAAGACAGATTGTATGGGCAGAGGTAGAGGGAGCTGGAAATCGGAAATTTCGAGAAAATCAAAGAGGCTGTGCTGCCACGCTGCCTGCCGCTCCTGTTAGTTACATACGTACTGCTGCTGTTGCTGGTGCTATTGTCTCTACACTGACTCTCTCTCTCATTCTCTCACTGGCTGTATACTTCTATACCTAGATTACACAACGTGGCCGAAATTGCTTTGCCGGCTGCATTATATCAAAGATATAATTTAATAACGCCTTATATCAAGAATGGTAAGATTTTCAAACTTCCAATAAGTTGAATTTGCTGTAAAGAAATTTACATATCTTATAATGTATCAATTAATAATAGTTATTTGCAAATGTTCAAAGTTAACCTTTAAACCAACAACTTAAGTAGATGCATTCTCAGTACAAGTAATATTTTGCAAAATGACGCACGAATACAATATTTCAAATAGATTTTACATTTTCAACATGTTTAATATGTTATTATTTTGTTGTCTTTAGTAGTTCAAATACTGATCTATACGAACTCTGTCCCAAGTCACAAGGCCGGCAAAAATTTTATTTTTGTTGTAAACAGTGTGAAACAAATGATTATGGATTATCGATAAAACAAAAGAATAAACACAGAAAAATATTTTTTTTACTTATTTGTCTAACCCGACGCTACTATTACTGTTGCAATTGCTAATAGATAATCTTGAAGAAATTGAAACTTGTAACTTTATGTGAATTATATGTTCATATCTTTTTATTTGAACGTACTCTCACTTGGTATAACAGAAATTTGTCCAAAATTACATCATGTATAATGTCAAAGTAATTGTTGCTGTTAAAATATTATAGTCTATTAAGTGACCTGGAGAAGTTTCAGGATATACAACCCAAATTATTTGTTTTTCCTTAGGCTGCTGTTAGTGCCATCAAGAGACTTGTACCTCTCTTTGATAGAGTTCTTATACAAAGAGCTGAAGCAGTAACCAAAACGAAAGGAGGCATTGTTCTACCAGAGAAAGCTCAGGCAAAAGTTTTACAGGGTACTGTAGTGGCAATAGGACCTGGGCAACGGAACGAGGTATTATAGTCTTGTATAATAAGACAAATCAAAGGGTATAAACAAATGCACAGTGATCACAGAATATACATTTGGAAAAGCTTAAGTTTTCTAACTGCATAAAATCAACTCAGAACTCGACATTTAACAGTCAATAGTTGCTGTTGTCAGCTTCGACCAAGCAAACATCGCAGAGCTGCTTTGTTTACATCTAGCAGTTTGTCTTGTTGGATGGGTTATAGAAATCATTCTATTATTATAAAAAAAAAGGTTCTGCTACTAACAAAACAATAGTAACATATAGTAATAGTTTTCACTTTTATTTCAGAAAGGAGAACATGTTCCTTTAAGCATCAAAGTTGGTGATGTTGTTTTATTGCCAGAATATGGAGGAACTAAAGTAGAGCTCGAAGATAATAAAGAATTACACTTATTCCGCGAGTCGGACATACTGGCGAAGTTAGAAGTTTAAGGTTGTATTGATTGTAAGTTTAAAATACTTCAAACATTAAAAAATATTTGAAAGTTTCTGAAGTCATAAACCTAATATGTATGCGTATACACATTTACACCTCTTGCACATAGTTTAAGTCTACCGTTCTATCATCATAAATTCACATATTCCTCCAAAAGCTGGACGTTGAAATAAATATAATGTTACGAATACCGAAAGAAATAAAACACGTATTGATTATGTTTGTAAAAATATCATTTGCTGTGTTAATTTTGTTAATTTTGTTAATTTACATTCGATTTTAATAATTTGTACCGTTAAGGATAGTTGGAATAAAGTCTGTTAATATTATCAGAATACAAGATTTTTTTATTGTACTTAAATTCGTATTATGTATGTAAAAGGGACTTATATCTTCATAGCAAATAAACTAATTTTATAATTTTTAATGCAAATTATATTACAAGCAATCTTCTACTTTTTTTTATTTCAATCTAACACTTTTCTTCACACTAGCTTTAATACCCGAGATTTCTCCTGCGTAACGAGTTATTTCTTTTCTCACCTCTCTCACCTGTAACATAAAATGTTTCAGTTTCATTGCAATATTTAAAATAAAGATTGTAGATATTTTATGGACGTATGGATACGTACAGCTCCCTTTCTTCGAATTTTAGCTTTACGATATTTATTTCTATGCTTTACTCGAGGATTCCGTTGGTCTTTTTTCCGGTGTGGTGTTAAACCTTTATTCTTTGCCATCTGATACGTAATTCCTCTTTTTCCTGCATTCTCAATTACCGATTCTCTCACGTTAGTATTTTCCATTTGCTTCTCTTCTTTTTCTGTAGTATCTTCCATGTCCTCTTCGTCTGTACTACTTGTTTGAGGTTCCAAATTTTCTACTATCTCTGTGTATATATTATCTTTAGATTTTTCTCTTTCGTCTGTAAATTTCTTTTTCTCCATGTTATATTCGGACTCTGATAAATATTGATCGATAACTCTCTTTTTAGCAGATTTTTGTACATGATCTAGTTTCCCTTTAAAATGATTCGATAGTTTCTTTTCGTTGGTTCCTAATTTAGAACCATCGGATACATTATACAATGGTTTCCCTTGATTTTTAGCTGTCAATACGTCTTTGATCTCTTGTATCAAATTTCCCTGTCCTGACTCTAACTGACTCAACAATTGACTATATTGTGCCAAACGTTTTATAACAGGATGAGAATTAACAGGCAATCGTTTAGCTTTTAACATTAAATAAAACGATATATTGATACAGTAATTCAATAAAATGTCATACTTCGTCTTTACAAAAGATACCGCTGAACAACCGGAGATCGCATTAATCTCAGCCAATTCTAAAAATGGTCCTAATACATCTTTTGCTTCTGTCATGCGATCTAAATAACCAACAAATATTTATGCGGAATTGAAAATATAAAGATAGTAATGTAAAATGCATTAAATACCTTTAAAGTCAGTTACAAGCACCATAAATTCAGGACTTTCTTTTTCCATTATTGCTTGTTTTTGCCTTTTACTAAGTTTACTGAGATCAGTTCTTACAAACTGTTCTGCATATTCTCGAATATCTTTATCATGGGATTTTATAGGTTGCATAAAATCTAATCCAAAATCAACATCATCTAACTGTCCTGCTAATCTTTTTTGAATATTTCTAGCTTCTTCTTCTTCCATTTCAGCATCAGCTAAATCCTTTTGACTAGCTGTAGCATAGTCAGGATCTACATAATCTGTAGAATAATAAACTTTTTTCTTTTTTCCCCAGGCTTTTTCATTTGGTAAGTCAAAATCTTCTTGTAATCCTTCGATATCTGATACCATAGAGTCTGCTTCGTTCTCCGTAACATCCTTAGCTTCATTTTCGTTTTGTAACCCATAAACTTCATAATCACTATCATAGCTTTCAGAAGAACGTCTATCTCGTATTTTTTTAAGTAATTTCCGCTCATTTTCTGAATATTCTTCTTCCGAATCTGTAATTTCGTTCATATCTATTCCTTTTAAATCGCCTGCTTCTTCATGCATTTGGAATGCTCTAGTCCTGCTATACAGATGTTGAAACAAAAAGATTGTTTAAAAATGTTATAAAAACGCTAATTATCTTATGTTTTTAACAAAAATAAAAGTAATTAAATTCATTTTCTTTTATCAGCATACAATTCAACTATTTAATTACTTGGAATAACAAGTAATTAATAAAGTAATACCAACAGAAAGTAAATTATTCTTAAATGAAATTGCTTCTCGTATTGTTACTTAACCAAAAAAACGCTACACCTTTTTTTATTCCTCATGTCAAAAACTTAATTTGAAGTTGTACGAAACATCGACACACGTGAATGCTCGAATTTACCTAACCTCATATACATATTCGTGTACAAAACGTATGGCAGGACTCGGATAAACTCGGAACAGCTCGGAATTAACTTGCCCGCGCCCGAGCATCTTCGGATTCCAGTCTGAAATGTGCTGCAGCTCGATGGAGGTGAAACAATCACAAATGGGATTGGACGATGTCAACGGATTCCAATGGCAGTGTCGCCAGTGCACACCGCCACCCTCCCGCCCCGCCACTCTGCAGCATATACCAAACTGTTCCAGATATTTCGAACTTCAGACCACTATTGCGCTCTTCAGATATTTTAGGCTTGAAGCATGAATTAGCCGGCAACACTTTGTGAAATAAGTGAAGGAACGAGTCCCTATTCCCTATTCGCTCTTACTACACTTTCCAATCTCGCCTCCTGTCACTCATCTCTCGAAGTGCTCCAGGTCTGGAGCTCCTCTCGTTTCTCTACATGGCCTTCACCGACCTCCACCACGGCCCCAATACCAAAACTGCAAAGCAGATCAGACAACCCATTTAACCAATACTCCCTTACTTAACCTGTCACCGTTTTGAATAACGTTTGTAGTTCAGGATGGTTGACGAATCAACGAAGAAAACATTAAGTAATATTCCATTGTTACAAACGAAAGCGGGTCCTAGAGATAAGGATTTGTGGGTGCAAAGATTAAAGGAAGAATATCAAGCGTTAATTCAAGTAAATCATCATTGTACAATGTGGTGCTTTCCATACGCTTAACAATCTTTCCAAAGTTTTTATTACTTATGCTATAAACTTGTTTGCAAGAGATTAATCGATCGATAAATTAAGATTTTAGAATTTACGATGTTCCTAAACTTTGTGTGTATTTCAGTATGTAAAAAATAATAAAGATTCTGACAATGATTGGTTTCGGTTAGAATCTAACAAAGAGGGTACAAGATGGTTTGGAAAATGTTGGTATATTCACAATCTCTTAAAATACGAATTTGAGATTGAGTTTGAGGTAAGTCGTTCTTCTATCTACAATAATTAAGTACCGCAATATCTATAATATAATAATAATAATAATAATAATGTAATTGTAGATTGCTGTTACATATCCCACAACAGCACCTGAAATAGCTTTACCAGAGTTAGATGGTAAAACTGCAAAAATGTACAGGGGTGGAAAAATTTGTCTGACAGATCATTTTAAGCCTTTGTGGGCCCGTAATGTACCAAAATTTGGAATTGCCCATGTCATGGCCCTTGGAGTAAATTTTTCATTTATATAATTATTACTCTTGCTAAATTATTAGTATTTTATGCTATAAATATTCAAATGTATATTTTTAGCTGGGACCATGGATGGCAGTTGAAATTCCTGATCTTATAGAGAAAGGTGCTGTAGTACATAAGGATAAAATCGATCAAAAGTCGTAATATTATAAAAGAATATCCTGAAATATAAATGAAATTATTGCTTTTAATTGTTGATCAAGATTAACTTTTATATTAATTTTGAAGAAATGGTTTGTTTACTGAATGTATTGTTCTCTTCACGAATTATAAATATTTATACTTGTACATTACATATAAATAACAATACTTCGCATATTATTTAGATTCTTCATCTATTCGAACTTTTTAGTCTCTTTTATGATCTCGTCTAATCTGTACAGATCCTTAATCGATATTTCGCCGGTACCTCTTTCTAACGCTTTTGGTTGCGAAGGATCTGGCTTCCAGCCTACTAGGTAAATTATTTGATATGTCGCAGGTATAAACGGTGTACCATCTTCTTTAATTTTTCCGTATAGTTCTTTATATATTGCAGAAGCAGCGAATAGAGTGTTTTTATTTAAACGTAATTTTCGATTTCTAGTAGCGTTATTCTCGGCCATTCCTACAAAATTAAATACCTCGAAATAACTAATTCATATAATGTCCTATCTTATACAATGATTATATGCATACAGGATGTCCCAGTAACTATGTCATAAAGCAATACCCAAAACAGTAAACATCACAGATGAAGATCACAACATTATTTGTAATGGTAATAATGCTTTGACATAGAGTTACTGTTCATTGGAATTCCCATGCGAGAAGATGTAATAGTATATCTGCTTGCAGTTCAGAGGATAAACTAATACCTTTCAAATCCCACATTAATTCGAACATGCTTGGATAACCAACAACCATTTCATCTGTATCGATAGTCAACATTGTAAACTTGGCTCTATTTAACAAAGCTCCAATATCTCTAATTTCAACGAATGGTGAAATATGAGCTGAAATCCCACCATCCCTTTCCAATTCTGCTAATTGTAAGGAACTTCTGGAAAAACAAACAACAAACAATAAATTACCACAAAATTGCCATTCTTTTCCATGTTATTCAAATTACCTCAGTTCATACAACGTTTCTCCTCCAAACATAGCTGCTAAGAATACACCATCGTTCTTTAAGCTTTTATGAATGTTTTCAAGACAGCCTGGCAGATTGTTCACCCAATGAAGATTCAAGGAACTTATGACTAAGTCTAAACTGTCTTCCTCCCACAAAAACTGTTCTTCATCCAAAATCATTCTGGTTACTTTAATTCCTTCTGTGGTTTCTGCTTCGTGTAGCAAACTTGAACACGTATCTGTCAATATTAGTTCCTCGACAGATTCTGCAGCGATATGCTTGGATACATGACCACGACCACATCCTAAGTTAAGTGCTTTCTTAAATTTTTTCTTTATATCAAATATTCTATCCGATAGTCTGTAACCTACTTCGTCTTTGATGTAATCAAACAGTATTGCATTGGGCGCTTGTGCTGCTCGTTCTCTTTGCAGTAGCTTCGCATCCCTATCGAAAACGTACATGACACCATCGGATGTTGGCGTGAAATTTGTTATACTGCTAACTATACGACGAACATTGCTGATTCGACTTTGATTCCCAAACGCATGGTGGAATATGCAACATTCAAGCAACACATGCATTTCCTTAAGTCGATGAAAATTTAACATTTTTATGTCTGCTTCTTTCCGCATGTGCATATAATCTGAACATCAGTAACAATATTTGCACAAAATATGCTTATAATATTTAATAAATTGTATGTACATGTTCATACTCTTCTTAGGGAAACGATCCAAACACGTAAAGCGTTCATGTACATAAGTCGCCTAACGTAACCTGCATTGCACGCAGTTCACGTAAATACATAGTATATATAACTAACAGATTTCATCATAAATTATATTATAATTAACTATTCGTTTTTAAATCGTTCACTATTATGTCATATATTACACAGTAATTAGCATGATCTCAAAAATGAAATGGAAACGTATAGCATAAATTTAAGTACAGTAATGGGATCTACCCCAGCACACTTCCAGGCAGCAGCATCACTCGTTAGCGAGGATTGTTATAGAAATTTTCATTGCTGTGATTGGCTGACAATTTACTGCTGAAACAGGATCAACTACGGATCGAATGAGCAGTAAAAGCGGCCGAGCCAACGAGCGGTCGAAGCCTAGTTCCGCTCATTAGCTTAACCGCCTCGTATTGATCGCTGTTTTTCGTTAATAACTCGTAAACGAAACCGTGGATTACATTTTCACAATAATTTTGGGACACCCTGTATATGATACCTAAACTCCTGCATATTTGTCTTCCTCTCTAAGGAAGCGTTTGTATCAAATCCACAGTGAATTCTGTCTTAGCGTTGAGTCGTGAGCCAATCGGAACAAAGCAATTTCTGTCTCCAACTTCAACTGCTTAGCAAGCTGCGGCCCAGAGCCTTGCCGTCGTGCAGGAGTTACAAATCCATTAACCTTAAATGTAACTAAGGATTTTGCAAATTAGCTGTAAAGAAAATAACAATTATAATAATGCAAACTACAATTTTTATTATAATTCAGCAAAAAAAGAAAAGAAAATAGTATTAACCACGAAATGACTAAATTGTCTGAACCATCCACATGTAATAATATATATATATATATATATGCAATAACATATAATTACATAAAAAAATGTCATTCTTATGTATCAAGATAGACGTTAAAATTTCATTTTCAAATCTACTTTAATAATTTAAAACATATACATGGTTAAATAAAGCAAATCTTCTTTTGGTTTCAAATAATGTTATGAAAGACTTATAAGTATCGCAATGTTTAATTATTGTGTAAGACAGTACCCACTTAGACGTATATATACTGCATTGAACTGACATGTAAAAATGTACAAGAAAAAAAACTTGTCGCTAATGCACAAAAGTGTACAGAATTTAATATGAATCTATACAAAAATTGGAATATAGATAAATCACAAACATAATTAATTACAGACAAATGTAACGAATATCTTCGTAATTTACATTTCAATGTTATAAATACTGTTTATGGGACTGATCGATAAATTACACCGGTTTGTGTTCCAATACAATCCCTGGTCTGACAGTTTGCTACTTAGCACAATATTTTTTATGACTTTGATTCAATGAACTTCGATCCAATAGTATTTAACGTCATAATTAAGTACGATCATTTCAAAATTAATAAATGTTATTCGCAATACATATATCGTTTGCACGTATCTAGTAATACGTAAAGTTGTAACTATTTCACCTTTGCGTGGTCTGCCTCGTAACAAATTAAAATTTACAATTAATAGATGTTTTATAATCTTTCCTAAATGTTAAAGGTAAAGTTTTATATAAAAGTCAGTCCTAGATATTGCTAAAAAAATTTGTACAATTATGTAATCACAAAAAAAAAACAAAAAAAAAACATAATATTACACATTTTAAGGTACAATATATAATATTACACCAGGAAACGTAAAGAGACCCTAGGGAATTTCGTTGCATATTCGAGAAAATATTTATACCACAAGAAAATCCTTCTACTATCGGCCCATAAAAATAAGCATAAAAAATAATTACGTGTTTTTATATAAATTTGTTACCTAATTAATATTCCACGTAATACAGCTAATAGCGAGCTAACAGTATATAAGTAATTATATAATTATAATATATTTGAAATAATTATTAGTGTGATCTCGTATTTGAATGTTTTGGAATATTGTTGCAATTCTCAAAATATTCTTCACATTTCTTATAATACATTCGTAATTTTAAAACGTTTTGCTAATTGCCTTTAAGTATTCATCTATAAAATGTTGGAATTATAATCATCCGTCCGTCCGTCCGTCCGTCCGTCCGTCCGTCCGTCCGTACATCCATCAATCCATCCATCCATCCATCCGTACATGCATGCAGCAAGCACGCACGCGCGCTTCTTTTTCTTTCTATGCTTTATGAACATGCAGTAAATGATAATCACAGTTTCAAAATTGAGACCGTGCACTGCATATAGATACATTGCAACTACCTCGTCTTCTCTTTTTACCATCTTAAATATTAAAAACGATTGGACAATTTGCAAAATAAAATTTTTACAAACACAGATCATATCACGGAAGTAATATCAAAGTTTAAAACCATGCGCGATAAGAGTGACAATGCCTATTGCCCTGCTTTCCAAAGATCTTGATATTAGTAATTACTTTGGCCTCAAACTACTGATAGGAGTGGGTAACGTGAAATGTGCCGATGTTGTAACGGTCGTTGCGGTACATGTAGGAATAGGTATATCACCTATATTTGTTGTAGCGTTTGTTTCACTTTTATAACGTATATTTGTATATTCTCGACCTAGATGAAGAGATTTCTGTAAAAAAGACAACAAACACAAAAGATTATAGATGAGTCAAGATCATTGGATAATATGTGTATGTAAAACAGATCTTGTCTACTTACCTGTTCTGCCTGCATTCGTTGAGACACAGTTTCAATATAATGTAACACAGCAAGGTAGACGAACTTATATTGTGCTTCAGTTTGAACCATTCCTGATCTTTGCGAACGTACTCTTTGAATCGTTCTTTGAATATCAATTTCACAATCTAAGCCTGTTGATAAAATATGCACAAAGTATTAGAAGAACTCATGAAATTTCTAATGAAATATTACAATATAATATGATATTTTAATATAATCATATTATATTATAATATAACACACATGATCTCTCTATTAAAAATTACCGTGTCGTTTAATTTGATCAAGAATCATGTCGATAACTATAAACGTTCCCGTTCTACCAATTCCAGCACTGCAATGTACAAGAATCGGCCCTATACTTTGTGCATTTTGGCTACTCGATGTAAGGGATGCAGTAATCGACTCTTGTCTCGCATTAACGTCATGAAGGAAATTTAATACACATCCAGGATCCGAAGGAACCCCGTGATCAGGCCATGCCTGAAAGTTAATATAGTTAACACACAACTTCATCATTTTGTTCTATGCAGCATAATACAACGGCTATAATTAAGAACTCTATTGTAATGATATGTACTTGAAAATGATAATGATAAATTCTTCTAGATTCCGCGAAACACGATTTATTTCCATGTAAAATAAATTCCCGTAGTGTATAATCCGCTGTTGAAGTGCGCGACAAGGCTCGTACTTTCCATTCGCTACCGTATTCTGCAATTTCGCCTTCTTCTGGCCAATAACGGGCGCATTTGTTCTAAAATAGAATATATGTTATATATTCGTACGTGAATTTCTTTAAATAGTATACCTTTCCTCTTTCCATTTCTTTGGTAGTCATCACTATTACTCTGGTATTTTCTTGGTATACCATATGCCAGAAGTCTGCTATCGTGTTTGGAAGGCAACCTTGCGTTGCGATGTAACACTTATTAAATGCACCAACATCACCGACGGTAATGATTCCGCCGGATTGTCCGTCTCCTTCTTCATTCTGTAGAAGTAGCATGCAAACAAATTTCAATACATAATATACATACGTAAGCAAAGCAAATATTGAATCATGCGGAAAAATTTACCCTAATGTAATTAGCATTGATGTAATCGGCTCCAAGAACGTTTGGATCAACATCCTTTAATCGCACTCTTGTGTGATCAACTATAAAATAATCATATTTTATGATTTCAATGTACACATATACCACATGAAAATAATTAAGAAAATTAATCAAGTTAAAGAACATCTTACATGGTAAGATATTTTTGTACCGATTCTTTGCCCGGTTCTCGGGACGTAAACCTTCCTTTCTGGAAAATAAGTGACGGCACTCTAACTGTTGCAATGACTCAAATTCTTCCCAAAAACCAGCTTTTCCTTTACCACGCCCTATTCCAGCTTCGTTACCGCCGGTGGTTCCGTTCCAGCATAACCATCCGTTCGAACAGCCGTTTTCTTTATGCAATTGCCTTACTCTGCTTTCAATGCCACTAGCATTTATACGAGTAGCATTGAAAGGTTGCCTTGACAAATAGAGAAGATCTAAAGATATATCTTGTATACACATACATAATTAACGACCTATCAAGTTTAACGATTTCTACCTTAAATGTACAACGCTTCCACTCGTTTCAACCATTGGATTGCGTTTATAATGTTCTATTAGATCAGTCAGACTATCAAACTTATCACCCCCTCCAACGTCATATTTATTATCCTACAAGATATATTAATTTTTAATAACAGCACATTGCAAGGTTTGATAATATTTTATAATAAGGAGAAAATTGTTAAAGATGATATATATGACACATAATAGAGGATGTAATTAACCTGAGATCGTATTATAACATGTGTAACACGATCGTCTGTGCGCACGGATAATACAAAGTCACCAGGTTTACTTTGGGATTCACGAACCAGAAACGATCCATTTTTACCTCGCTCCAGCATTAAACGTTCTGCTTCTTTAGCTGATAAATGGCCATGGAACCACCTTTACCCATATTTTACTATTAACACATACCATGCTATATGCGTGCATTTCAAGTAATAGTAGCAAGAAAGAATGTTTCGATGCATGACAAAACTTACTATTACAATTATCATGGAATCAATAGTATTACCTCTTTGTCTTGAATAAATACCTTTCGGTTGTTGGATCTGCGCAGTTCAAGGGATACTTCAGTTCAATAATTTCACCATTTTTTTCACGCAATTGTCCTCCGTTTTCCATATAAAATTGCACAAGTTCTGACAACGTTGCAAACTTCTCGCCACCGTAAAGATCATAAAAGTCTCCTGTATTTTGTATTTTTATGTGAGTCACTTCACCATTTCGTCTGAGAAAAAGAACAAAATATCCGTTATAGCGAAACGATACTGAGCTGTTATATATTGTCAACTATTATATGAGAATATAATATAAATTATGTTCTTACCTCACGGATAATGTAAAATCACCAGGATTGGATGAGCTGGGTCTTGCCAAAAATGAACTATCATAACCTCGTTCCATTAATAAACGTTCTGCTTCTAAACCCGAAATGTTGGGATGGAACCATCTGTAACAAATGTTATGCTATTACTGTTTACCTTTCCGTGATTGGACGAAAGAATTAATCGGACAGTATCAATGCAATATTCCATAGAAATTATTGGTTCAACTAATAGCCTACAAATGAATCAAACTTAACTTACTTCTGCATAAATTTAAAAGGATAAAAAGTGCTACAATGAAATAATTATTCCTATTAGAAGACATAATGGAAAACATTTTTAAAACATATTTAAATTATCGATTACAATAATTTCGATCATCTTGTGCAAATAATAATAAAAATTTAAGCATATATGTACAAGAGAATTCATTCTACAAAACACGATATAAATACTGTGTAGAAATCATATGATTATAGACTACGAAAATGCATACAAATAATCATGTAGAATAAAGAGAGAATATTTTTGTCTGGAAATATCTGTGACGAATATATATATATATATATATATATATATAAATGTGTCAACTGGTATATTATTTCGTCCGTGTTTGGACATTAAAAATTCATTCATCAGCGATAAATAATCCAACAACTCAAATGCGTACCTCGCACCATCAAATTTCATTAATCCGCAACTAAGAGTAATTAATAAGTGGACCTGTTTAGCGAACGACCGTCGATTATGATAATTACATGTTCTTTTATGCAACTATAAAAACGTGCCTCACCTACGAGATGCCATGTCGTGGATCCAACTATGATCACTTGGATATTAATAATTCATAACGATTCATTGATATCTGCGCCTACAATTCACAATTGCAATTGATTTCAGTTTAACGCTAACTGCATATCGCCAGTATCGCCACAGTCTTTGACATATTCACTTTGCACGAAAACAAAAAAAAGTCGAAAGCTAAACCATTCTGGCATAGATTTTCAGGATCTGTAGAGAGGACAAAATGACACAATTTCTTAGAGGACAGATCAGCTCAGTGGCTCGGTGTAGCCTGATTTGCACCATAAAATGAAGACTCGTCTCAATTGTACCATGGGGCTGAGCGCATGAGTAGTAATAACTAAAATTTAAAAAAGATACATAGTATGCAATACGGAATAAATAAAATTTCTGGCTGTATGTAATTTCGAAAGAGATCTGACGCCGATCATGATGGCATTTGTGGTGTGGGGGGGGGGGGGGGGGGCCCC